TCGCCAGTGGCCACTACCATCTGAAACAGTAACTGTGTAGTCTTGTGCACAAAAATCCTTCACTGGGGACTCTTATCTTTTACATACTACTGGGGATTTGGCCTGAAAATTGTAGTGCTCCAAGTACAACCGCTACCTTAACGCCATAGGCACAAGATAGCAGCATGACAGTTGAGGATAAGGCTCAGCCACAGTAGCTGAGACACGTAACCGACTCGTCTACGCGGGTCACGTGTGACCTGTTCCCCGCACAACAGTTCTCAATTAAAGACCACTTCACCAGCATATTCTACGCGTGGTGACTATAGATTAGTTTCGCAGAGTCGAAAAAATGCTAGGGGTCAAGATTTAACCTTGACATAGGTCACAGATATTACGAGGGAATTTGGGTTTTCGTTTGCCAATTTCTATAGATTGTCATCATCTGAGGAAATGTTCCAAGCCATTGCAATGGAGTAGACTGCTGTGGAAGGACTGAAGTTACTGAAGCGGAAACGGAAAAATATTGAGGACACTTTGACCAGTGAATGTGCGCTATTGTTGCCAGTTTTTCCTAAAGAGTACTATTAGTGTTTAAGTGTCTACTGTGAACATCGGTGAAGAGTATTCACTTGGACGTTTTTCTTCTACTGTCACTTCCTTTAATTTGCTGGGCGCATTCTTGACACTTCAACCTTCTGTAGATTTTTTGTCTTCCGTCTAAGAGGGGGCAACCTACCTGGCTGAACCTCTCCAAATCGAGAGTCCTCCTTGTGTGCAGCCCTTAGCGAGCCTGCCACTCAAGTACTATGCCGGCCATGTTCTTTAGGAGTTGGCGGAATTTGAAGTTAACTGTGGACAAAATGAGAACAATGCTTTTCCCATTTTCTCGCTACTCTGGTTGTTGGAAACCTAGAATTATTTTTATACCCCGATTTGGCTGTAATCAGGTGGGAATTAAGTAAATGTCCTCTTTCATTCGCCTTTAACCTCGACTGTCCACGAAGAGTGGTCCATCAAGCAAGGGAACTCGGGAGGGCGGCCGATTAGAGGCTCTTCGGCCCATTTACAGTCTGCCTCTGGTCTCCCTGTCATTATCACCTATTGGGGCAAAAGTAGCTTGTGTAGGCCCACTCTTTTCCCTTTTTTCCCAGTATTTTGTCCTGCAAAAACGGTGGTTGTAGACTTTTGGGGGTGAGGAAAAAGGATAGGCAGAGAATGAAATTTTTAGAAGTAAAGTGAAAAAAGGTAGTCGAAGTTGCTTCACGCGGTCGCTGGGAGTAGGTTGTTCCGTATGTAAATTGAAGGTGTGTTCGCGGTGCTTCGCGCCGCGGACTATACTAATCTAACTCCAGAACGGTAATTTGGAACTCAGGTAAGTTGAAGTAGATGACCTCCTAACCACCATTTCAATTTTTCTGGAAATTCGAGAAACCTACAATTTGATAATCAGGTTTTTCCGCAATAAGTTAAACGATAATACA